TTTCCTGTACGCATTCTCTAACTCGGTTCCCTTAAAATTGTTTTTAATATTTGAAATTCTGGGTTTCCTTTTTCTTTCTACCATCTTTGATTTATGGTATTTTTCTTAGGTGGAAACTTCGGTTGAGTGAGAATTTGATGTGCCAGATGAGTTTGTGGAGACAGAATACTATAGGGAGCTGGATTCCATAGAAGAAAAGCACCACCTGGTATAAAAATATACCCATAATCTTCCATTTTCTCAAACATTGATGATCCCTTTAGGATTGATTGAGTTTTGTGGCGTTTGTCGTTCATTGATAACTGACTGGAAATGGGTTTATATAAGGGTCTCGAAGGATGAAGTCGAAGAGAATGGAAATGATATTCAGTCCGGAGTCAAGTCAGTCCTGCTCCGGAAAACAGAGTCGTCGGTGAAGAGCTGATGAGATAATTTTAACTAGCAAGTCCATATGAAAATTAAGTATCCTCCTTCATAAATTATAGACTAATTAATTAAGTATTAAAATTAATTAATTTTATTTTTCGTTTAACAATTTAAATTAAATTATTTGAGTGAATTAATTAATTAAACTAACTACAACTAAAAAATTAAATTGATTTTAAGTGAAAAAAAAAAAATTAGTTGGATAATAGGGAAAATTATATATAATCTACTTATGGTTTAAATAAATACACTTAAAAGCTTGTAATATTGAAATGTAGACTTAAAAATTTATGTTTTGGACTATAAACACTAAATCACTCATGTTTCTAGATGATATTAAAGTTATGTGTAATGTTTTAAATACCCTTAACTTATAAAAAAAAAAAGAAGAAGAATAAACTCAATTATTGCAGACGTTGTTTTATAGTAATCTTTAAAATTCAACTCAAATGAAGGTAAAAATCAAACAAAATAATTCTTTACTAGTAACTAAATAAAATCTCTTAATCTATTATAGCTTATATTCTAAAGTGAAGTTTTGTTTCTAATTTTCTTCTATAGACTTTTTTGTATTTAATTAAGAGTTTTGTTGCTTGTTTAGAATTTAAAAATTAGGGCTTTTATTTGAAAATTGATAAGTTCTACATTTGTTGTTTGTCATTATAAATAATATATTTATGATTTTATTGATATTTAATTTTAATTAGTTTTAACC